AGTGAACAGGAGACATGTGGCTAAAAATTATGCACGTTATCAAACAAACACCCAAATCAAGGTCAGTTTCTTGGTCATTGTTTCTTCTGTTTGTATGACTTAGCCTATACGGTCTCATAGATAAGAGCTCCTGATTACAGAGCAAGGTTATATTGCTGGCTGCATTAAAAGGTTCTGTTTCTGGTTCACTGCAAGTTCATACTATGGCACCAAACCATAGAAAGGGCAGTGGGGTCATGCTGCTGGTTTCATTGGCCCTTGTTGCATATTTCACTGGCCCTGCCCTCAACCTACAAACACCAAGGGTGGACTTCTGCAGCCTTTGTGCATAGATTTCAAGGAAGGTAGTCTTCTATGCAAGAAGAGAAGAGGACTTTGGACTTGATATCCCACCTTTCACTCCCCTTAAGGAGTCTCAAAGCGGCTCACAATCTCCTCTCCCTTCCTCTCCCACAACAAACACTCTGAGAGGTAAGTGAGGCTGAGAGACGTCAGAGAAGTGTGACTAGCCCAAGGTCACCAAGCAGCTGCATGTGGAGGAGCGGGGAAGTGAACCTGGTTCACCAGATTACGAGTCCACCACTCTTAACCACTACACCATGCTGGCTGCCTGGATTCCTCAGATGTTCAGCTCATGAGGAACCCTATGCAGACATCCTACTGCCCCTTCGACAAGCAGAAGGAGAATTTTCAGCATGGCATGGGGGTCGGGAATACACTTCTGTGAAATTATGGGGGAGCAGTGCTAAAAGTAGATAAGAACACAACTAACCATAGCAGGGTAGACACTACCACTCCCTGAACAACACTTAAATCCTGGAAATTATGAGGTGGGGAGAGAGGAAACGCCAGCTTCCCGATGGAGGCTGTTAAAAGCAACTATGCCCCCGCCTCTGGCAGAGAGCTTTAAAAACTGTTAAATAAAGCTAAAGAGAGAGATAATACCGATCTGCCGTCCACTACAGGACTTTCTACAATTCCCCATATGGGCCAATGTAGAAGAGTGGCTGAGGACAAGCACTTAACAATGAAGGTCTTACAGAGGTCAAGTAACACCAAGGGAAGCTGGGGAAAATGTTCACAGGAGTATTACATCTTTTTCCGAATTCTTCCTTACCAGCAATGCACAACACATTTTGCACACAGGCTGTTTTATGCTGAGAATTTACTTTTGAGCAGTTAGAATCTTTGGGAGCATCTAATGATGTTCCCTTAACCAGTGGTTAAGGCATGAACTATCATTTTAGTGGGGGAGGAGGGAAATCTGAAGTCAGAACTCTGGCACCTTAAATCTACATGCTTCTGTCACATCAGAACAGTTCAGTCAGTAACTAGAGAGTGCACACTGGTAGGAAACCACAGCTCCTGTGAGGTAGCGTGTGTGTGTGTGTGTTGCTAATGAGAAATACTGCTATTCTTCCGAAGAGGCTTACATGCTATGTGCTCTAATCAGAGATCTTAAGTCTTCTCTATTGGAGGAAGCTCCCCTGGATCTTACCCACAGCTCACCCATTTGTTTGCTTCTTAAAACCCACGTCAGCATGAAGCCATCACTACATCTTGTGGAGATGAATGCTGGACTCTGATCATGTATCAAGCTTAGATAGCCAGTGAATGCATGTCACATCCACATTTTTGCTACTGTGAAAGTTTCAGGAAACCCCACTTGAAAGGCATACCCACAGAAGAAGAGGAAGAAGAGTTTTGACTTGATATCCCGCCTTTCACTCCCCTTAAGGAGTCTCAAAGTCGCTCACAATCTCCTTTCCCTTCCTCCCCTACAACAAACATTCTGTGAGGTGAGTGAGGCTGAGAGACTTCAGAGAAGTGTGACTGGCCCAAGGTCACCCAGCAGCTGCATGTGGAGGAGAGGGTAAGCGAACCCCGTTCACCAGATTATGAGTCCACTCTTAACCACTACACCATGCTGGCTACAGATCATGGATCAAAGCTATGTTGCGCTCTGTGTTTTTCCAGGATTTACAATGTTAGATTCCATGTGCGGAGAGACTACTGAAGACTTTGGATTTTTTGTAATATCTGTTTATTTTTTCCAATATACAGATTGGCCAGGAGGGAAGCAAGAAATTGTAAGGACAGTACCAGACCAAAAGCAGCATCAATCCCCAGCAGATATAACAGCACTCTCGCCACCTCCCGTGGCTACTTCTTGCTAGCTGGTTGGGGAGGTGGGGGCGGGACTGTGAAATGCATTTTCACTCTCTGTCCAAATCCAAACTGCATGGACTGCTTCTTTCAGCCTCCACCACACATGCACATGTGACTTAAAGCACCTTCTACAGAACATTATTAGATAAAGAGAAATGAGCAGCCACTAGTGGCCATTAAGGAAATCCCTACTGCTCATTATCTGGAAGGAGGGGGTCACCTCTTCTCTTTGGCCCAGCAGAACAGCATGATCCATAACAGGGGGAGAGATTGTGTTGTGGGGCATTCACTTTTACAACCTCTTTTTTATTTTAAAAAGCAAGGTAATTAGACTTGCAATCTTCCATGATTCTTCAAAAAAGATTCAATCAGTGCTACCACACTGTAATGCACAGCTGAGAGGAACTCAGACACCAAAGGCTGACTTCTTTCATTTCACAAAAAGTCACAAAATGGCATAAGGAGCCTGTGATGGGAATGGTGTGCCAAAAGAGGACCTGTAGCAGTCAAGTCCTGAATATGCTTTTAAAGCAAGACTCTGTGGCACAATTCAAGTTCTTAAAAATGTGAAATGCCCACATCAGAAGCACTAAAACTGAGGATCCCCTCAGTGTGTAAAGAGTGGAGTAATTACAGATTTACTGCACAGAAAAAATACCGTATAGTTGGTACTAGGAGGTCTAGGAACACAGGAAGCTGACATATACTGAGTATAAGACGGATATTGACAAGCTGGAATGCGTGCAGAGGAGGGTGACCAAGATGATCAAGGGTCTGGAAACCAAGGCTTGTGAGGAATGGCAAAAGGAGCTGGGTATGTTTAGCCTGGAAAACAGAAGACTGAGAGGAGATACGATAGCCATCTTCAAATATCTAAAGGGCTTGCTTGTTTTCTCCTGCTCCAGAGGGTAGGACTCAAACCAATGCCTTCATGTTACAAGAAAGGAGATTCTGACTAAACATTCTGGTGGTAAGAGCTGTTTGACAGTGGAACAGACTCCTTCAGAATGTGGCGGACTCTCCTTCTTTGCAGATATTAAAGAAGAGGTTGGAGGGCCATCCGTCATGTATGATGTAGTTGAGATTTCTTCATTGAAGTGGGTTGGAGTAGATGACCCTCATGATGCTTTCCAACTCTACAAGTCTATGATTCTATGAGTCCATCTAGCTCAGTATTGCCTGCACTGACTAATAGTTTGTCACAAGGGTTTCAGATAGGAGACTTTTCCAGTCCTGCCTGAAGATGCCAGGGACTGAAGCAAGCTATAGCCCTTCCCCATGTCTTAAGTTCCAGTTGGACCAAACAGCTTGGATATGGATGCACAGGAGAAAAACCAGCTCTACCAAGCCAGGAAATCCTAGCCCATTGGACACTACTTAGAGAACTTCTTGATCAATCTGTTTATAAATTTTCCAAATAAAAAAAAAAGGCAGAATGTTCTATTTATACCACATACAGTTACTACTGAGTGATGTTTATACTGGGCAATACTAGCAATGGCTGACTTCTGAATGATTTGCAACAGATCTGTAAGAGTTTCTGGCTGCCAATAAGATCAGCAACAAAGATGACTTTCTCCTTTCTTAAATTAAGCTGCTGAAATTAAGAAAGTGCAGGTGTGGGGTATGGAGAACCAGGAGCAGTAAGTTCAGTATTGATACTGAAAATAATTTCCAGGGCGGAAAAGGTGCCTATTCTCTTCTTGCCCCCCCCCCAAGTTTCTGTTGCATGTGAATCTGGCTAATGTGCCTCAAGGTTGTATTAAGATCTTGCAAAAATGAAATCTGTCAATCCCTGCCCTAGAACATTTCCCCATAATCCTCTGTAATATGCCTGTGTTCCCTGAAGTTCAAATCTGGGACATTCATAGAATCATAGAGTTGGAAGTGACCCTGAGGATCATCTAGTCAACCTTTTTATACCTACCACCCACTAATGCACCTTTCTTGATGGTAAAATTTCCTTACTGCCCACCAGTGCTTGATGGAAGGATGATTCGTCTTGTGCCATAGAACCCCCTACCACCCATCTAGAATCTTGAAACGCCCACTAGTGGGTGGTAGGGACCAGGTTGACAACCCCTGGTCTAGTCCAATGCAGGAACATGAAGTTGTCCCATATGGGAATCGAACCCAAAACCTTGGTGTTATCAGCACCATGCTCTAAGCAACTGAACAATTTGACCACCAAATTCTTGTACTAGACTATGCATAAAATCATCTATCCTCTCCCCTCCAAAGTATGTATTTGTAACAGCTGAAGCAAAATGATGATGATTGATGATGATAGCAAATATGAAGTGTTTATGACTTGTTCATGTATGCAGACAATCATTGTGACAAGGGCTCAAGCTGCTCTGAGTGGGCCTTTTGCCTAGACCAGGGGTCTGCAACCCGCGGCTCCGGAGCCGCATGTGGCTCTTTTACATCTTTGCCGCGGCTCCGGGGCGGATACTAGCGAGGGGAGGAGGAGCATTGTGTGCCCCGAAACTCCTCACTGTGGCGGGCGCTGTACTGGCTGTGACGTCGCATGGGGGCGGTGCGTGCGTTAGTCACGCACCGTCCCGACGTCACCTTCCTGCCCGCTGTCAGATCGCGGCTCCGGAGATATATTTGTTTTAAATGTCGCAATGGTTTTGCGGCTCCCAGTTGTTGTTTTTTCTTCGGAAACGGGTCCAAGTGGCTCTTTTTGTCTTAAAGGTTGCAGACCCCTGGCCTAGACTGATATAAATGCTGATAAAAATAAATATTAGTTATTTGTGGACTTCATTAGAGGCAGCAAAACAGGCTAACATGTATTTTTCAGTATTTGTTAAGTAAAAGGAGCCCACCAATTACGCTCAGTTCTGCGCTGATATAGATGGTCCCATGTCTATTTTCTGCCACACACTGATACATGCCGGTGTCCGATAGGTTCACACTGGTGATGGTGAGCGTCCCATGCTCTATCAAGATTCTTTCCTGCAAAATAGCAAAAGGCACAACACAATTTTGAAAAGCTCATATTTAGAATTTATGCATTGCTGCAACCATATCATTTATTTTAACCTGTCAGGGGGAATCAACTTTGATGTTAAAAATGCAAGTTTATGAACATTTTACATGATGTCATCGATTGATAATTTATATCATATTAATTGCTGAATGGAGGAAACCAATATCGTAGTTGGTAAATGCCATTTAAACAGTATAGCACCCCCTCCCCAATTTAGATTAATAGTATCTTCAAGTACATAAACTTGCAACTAATACTGCTTCTGTCCTGTAGTGTGTTGTGGTTTAATCATGCCAGGCAAGTTCTTCAGAAGATTTGGAACAGCAGAACTATTAGCTTTCCGCTCCCTTGAAGGTTAATGGGAACAGTAATCACATTCAGTGTTGCAAAGCTATTGTATGCCGTTCGCCCCACCAGAATTAAAACAAAATCAAAACCCCCTAAACCCTAAAGATGTAAATGTTAATCATTTAACAATCCTTACTTTAGTCTAATGTGATTTAAGTTCAAGACCATCTGCCAGTGACCAGCATGAAGCAAGTGAAATTAGGATGTGGAACAAAAGGACCCTGCAATCATTTGTCAGCCTACGGATATGGAACTCATGTTATCAGTTTTAATCAGTACAGCATTGTGTACAATAGGCATTTTAAACAACGAAACATATAACTAATATAATTTTTAAAAAACTGACGGACTTTCTTTCTACTTGGCTGTGGGGTTGCAATTTTATATTTGCATAATTTTTATTAGAGCTTGATTGAATCTAGGCAACTCATCAAAGAGCAGGTTAAGGAAAAAAATCTGGTCACTCTGATAACGGAGAGTGAATAATTTGCCTACTTTGCCTATATAATTGAGACATTCAAGGCCTGAAAGGATCTCCTCTGGTGAGACATGGAATGGAAAGGGTGCTAATGAGATTTCCTCCTTTTCCATAGATCATTAATCTTTAGGCAGTTCATTCTGCCACTGCTAATGGTAGGTCAACTCCCTTGTTGTCAGTTCTTGCAGAGATCTGAAGAAGTTGAATGGGGTTACTATTACAGACCAGAGGGCTTGTTTACCTCCCATAAAGTTCAATTAAAAATCAGAAGCTCAAAAATGGAAATGGAGGGAAGGTGTTTTATACAGCCTGAGTAAGTATATTCCCATTCACTCTTTTCACAGTTCACACTTACACTTAACTAGCGTTTCTATTATTACGTTTCCTTCCCCTACAGAGTTGTACAGAGTGTAAAAATATACAGCCATTTTATGTACCCTTCTTCTCATAGCAAATGTCCTCTGGAAATGAGTCCCACAGCTTCTAAGTTCCAGTTGATTCAGAGAAACGCTTGTCAAAGGCAGAAAGTGGCACTTAAATGCCTAACTTTCATTGAACATTTGGCTGGGAATTAGGTGCCTGAGGGTAATTTCTGCCTTTGAAAAGTATGGCTTGAAGTGTCATTGTTTTAACTACAAGGAAAGCTCAAGGTGATTCTGTGACATTCACTCAGCAGGGAAGGAAGTCTGCAATGGGACAGATGGAATTTTAAGGCCACTCGGTTTCATTAATTTCTTTTTCTCAACAGCAACAAACTATACAGAGATGAAAAAGGTCACCACTTCACAACAAATCCTTTCAAGTTTTGTCACCCAACTCAAAAGCATCAAGGACACCAAGCCTGAATATTACTCATACCTGAGGGAGAAGCAGTTCGCCATCCTTTAGCCAGCTGTATGAAGGCTTTGGTCTCCCATTTGCCTTACATTCCCAGTATATGCTTTCTTCCATGGCCACATGAGCGTCACTTATTTTCTGAATCCAGTTTGGAGGAGCTGCAAGGAGGACAGCAACACTCTTTTAAGCAAGTGTTTGTTTTCTGCGTGCCATTAACCTTCAAACGCCTTTCTTCCTAACATACACATTTATATAATACCGCATTCAAATATTATATCATTGTTCTTGAAAGTGAATTGGATCTCGTCTCTAAACATTAGAGACACAGTAAAAGAAATAAGGAAATATGTTTTCCTTTTTGCAGATATTAGTAGCAAGAAAGTTTTAGCTGGATGGCTTCCCCCATTGCATTAATCCAGTGTACTCATTGGTTTAAATGTGCTGAAGTGGGCACAGACTGCCAACTTATAGGTATCCCCTTCTCCCAGGAAACCCTGAAACTGAGGGCTCCAAGGGTTTGTGAAAATCACAATTCTCAGAACTGGCACTAAGCTACAATTCCCAATATCCTTTGGAGAATCTATGACAGCTAACCTTGTAAACCATTTTTAAGTGTGTATGTGCTCCCTATTTCTAAGGAAAGCTGTATGTTTCTTTAGCATAATAACCTGCCAGATAGGAGAATAAAAATGCTGCCCAGTCCTGGTATCAATTATGTTTGTACCTAAGAAAACAAATTTATCCTATATGCTTGCAAACTACATGCATCAGATTCCAACCTGCAGAAACCATAAGCACTTAGGTCTACTCTCGAGTCTAAAGTGCTTCGATGTGTAAACTATGAGAATTCAGAAATAATTTGCCATCTTGTTCCACGCTCTGTAGACAATGGGTGGTATTCAACCAAGTTTTACTCAGAGAAGTCCCCTTAACTAAGTTAGGTCTATTAATTTCAATGGGTGTACCCTGAGTAAACCTTGAATACCATCCACTCAGACTAGGGGATAGAAACACATCCCCATGCAACATATTTGAGAGGAAAATATATGAGCATAATCAAGCCAAAGTTAAGAACATTATGTGTCCCATTAATTGCAATGAAATAGATTTAACCACTTATTTAACTTGCTCGGGGAAATAAGTGGAACTTAAAACAGTCTCCCAGGGGATGTTTTCCCCCCTATAGCCTCCAAAGATATGTATTTCAAGTTTATAAGACTGCTATTACTTTGCTTTCAGATAACAAACACAAGTGACAGTGAATGTTCTGGGGACATCTCAGGCTGCCACATCAGAGAAACTAGACAGCTAAACTGTCCCTGGAATGGCAAACTACTGTGAGCCCCGTATAGAAGCTTCTGAGTCCAACAGATAATTGAGCTTAATGAATAGTGACTGAAATCTGCACACACAATTGTCCAAAGCTTAAAGAAATATGTATATTCTATGCCAGCAGAGGTCTCTATGAACCTGGGTATTTTACAATGCTGTGTCTCTCTATAATCAGATAAAACAATTTCAGATTTCTTCAACAAAGGACAACCACTTTTAAAATCCCCCAGGGGTTTAGATGAGATCAGAGGAAGGTTTGCAAGGGTAGAATTAAGCAGCAAAAGCTTGATAAACAAGAAGTGTCAGGTTGAATACCAACATGATGCTGCTACTTTTAAATCCATCTCTGCTATCAGCATTACTTGCTGATAAACCCAACAAGGAACAAGCAGCAAGGATCTTTTTTAATAGTTCAAGCTCCTTTGGGTGAATTAATTGAAATAGGAATTAAAGTTAATGGCAGCTGAACACCTAATTCCAAATGTACAGTACAGATTCTCCCAGATCTAGAAGAAAGATAACAAGAAGAAAAGAAAAGCTGAGGACACTTAGCTCAGAAACTTATATATGCCAAGAAAATAAGACTTAAAGAGATTCAGAGGTGGGGTGAGGTGGGGAGGGGTGAGAGAGAAACAGATTGACAAACATAATAAAAAATAAATAGGATACACCCCAAATTTTTCTTTAACAAGAAAGCAACACACTACAACTGACAGATTTAGCATCACACAAAGCTTATATCACCTCACTTCTTCAGTATTGTAAAGGACAATTCTAGAGACAACAAAAAAGATCTGCATAGAGCAAGATAATCTATGGATTCAAAGAGCTGCCTGAAGTTGCTTGTCAAAACATGCATTCTTGAGTCCAAGGCTATTTTTCAGCAAGTGTGAAGTGTACAATAAAAGGCATCCTTGTCTATAAAAGCACTATTACAACTCATGTTCTTGGGTGCATAAATTAACTTTTATATAATGAAAAAATACCTATTCTCAGCTTCAGTGATTTTGTTTTCCCCCACAAAACCCAACGACATATATGCCTTTGAGTCATATACCCAAAAGTTGTAAACGTTTATTTTTATCAGTATATAATTCACTTATTGCTGAATAAATGGAATATATAATTTCACTTCACTACTGAGAAGTCATAAGAAGAGGCCCAGTGGCTCATCTTGTCCAGCATCCTGTTCTCCCAGTGGCCAGCTGGATGCCTGTGGGAAACAAGGGAGCAGAACATGAGCACAAGAGCCCTCCCCCCTCCTGTGGTTTCCAGAAACTGGTACAGTGGTACCTCAGGTTAAGTACTTAATTTGTTCTGGAGGTCCGTACTTAACCTGAAAATGTTCTTAACCTGAATCACCACTTTTGCTAATGGGGCCTCCTCCTCCTGCTGTGCCACCAGAGCACGATTTCTGTTCTCATCCTGAAGCAACGTTCTTAACCCGGGGTTAGTGGAGTCTGTAACCTGAAGTGTATGTAACCTGAAGTGTATGTAACCTGAGGTACCACTGTAGCTGGAAGCATTGCTGCCTCCAGCAATGGAGGGAGAGCATAGCTATCATAGCTAATCACCATTGATAGCCTTCACCTCCATGAATTCAGAGTTGCCATATTTTGAAGAGTAAAGAAAAAAGGATGCTAGGACGACTCTCATTTTAAATACCCCTACTATTTGTAGGCTATAGAAGCTGTGATGTATTGCTGAGTGGGGCAGGAGAAGAGGAAAGCAAGTCTCCAGTTAGGTCTATATCTCATTCAGAAAATGTAGCCAGAGGCATTTTGGCAAATAATAATAATAAAAATCCATCTGGACAGAAATTTTACCCCTGGAAAAGAGGATGTGTCCTGGAAAAAGAGGACACATGGCAACTCTTCTAAAGCCATTCAAGTCAGTGACCATCACTGCCTCCTGGGAGATCGAGTTCTATAGTTTGACTATGCGCTGCATGAAGAACCACTTTCTTTCACCTGTCCAAAGTCCTCCAACATCAGTTTCACTGGATTTCCATGAGTTCTAGCATTCTGAGAGAGGGAGAAAAACTTTTCTCTATCCGCTTTCTCCACGTAATGTATAATTTTATAAACTTCTGTCATGTCATCTCTTACTTGTCTTTTCTCTAAACTAAAAAGTCCCAAATGCTACAACCTTTCGTCCAAAAGCATGAAATCTAATCAATACATTGCAGCAAAATCATTTCTTTAACCCATAAGAAAGCCTGGGAAAAAGTAACGAAAATTCTAGCAGCAAGAACATTTTCATCAAACAGGCCTAAAGATGGGGATCAACAACCAAGGAAACCTTCACCTTTAATGTCACCCTCAAACCGCTTGCAAGGGAACTATTCGGAAGAGGCCCTCAGATGAAGACCAAAGGGTGTGGGTAGTTATCTATTGGGAGAACTCCAAAAGATATTGGGGGCCTGAGCTGCTGCCTCTTGCCTGTTGGCTCCCTTGGGAGATTGGCAATGGCATATCTGAAGGGAATGTGTGTTTATCTGTGTGGGAAAGGGAAGAGGGGAGGCAATTTTAGAAAGACACCCCTACCCCTAGTGAATATATTGTGATGAATTTGTAGAGGGGCCAGATCCCTCTAAATTCTTAAATTTAGTAAATGTTAGAATTTAGCTAATACGTGGAGTATTAAGGGAAAATACAGGCTGCACCTGTTTTCCTGTTCAGGAGATCAGCTGATAGAGGTGCCATTCAGAAACAAAGAGAGCAGAGTATTGGGTCGTTAAGGGCAATTGCCAATGCCAATATTGTCCCTCCCCTGGCTATGAGGAGCAAGAGGCTGCCAGAGTTACAGGGGGCAGGAATAAAAGTAGAAATAAAAATAAATAAATAAAAATTTATACCCCACCCATCTGGCTGGGCTTGCCCAGGTGGGGAGAAAACTCCATGCAGACTGGCTGGGAAAGGCTGTACCCAGAGACTGGGGAGCATGGCTGGCTTCTGCTCTGAACCCAAGCCTACTTGAACTATGGGAGAAGCAACAGAAGACACTCTTGGGGTGTGATGTTCTGCACTCTCTCCAACAAGGCTCAGGAGTACATATGTGTAAACAAAGCCATATATCTTAAAGGCACTACAGTCTCTGTTGTGCCTCACTCCAAAGGAAACACAAACCCTGGTTAAGAGCCAAGACCCCTGGAATCTCACTCAGCTCAGCAGAGCTTGGGGTGGCCCGTAGCAATATGTTAGGATCAAGACTATTATTATATATACAAGTGGGTGGCATATGCATATATCTGGCTATAGCTGGGAACAGGATGCTATACTGTGCTGTGTGTGTCTGTGTGTGCAGTCATTCAACAGTTTGAGGGGTCTCGTGTGTGTGTGAGTGAGAGAGAGAGAGAGATGAGTGTATTACTTCATCTCTTTCTTTAGCTCCGATGAGCTCCCTTGCTTCCTAATGTTAGTAAGGGGAGAATGGATGCATCAACATGCATGTCTCCTGCTTTTGTGTGTCTATCTGTCCTGCTGGTCACGTGTCTTGCTGCCAATCTTTTCTTGTAAGGGGAAAGATGTTGGAGAGAGAGTGTGTGAAAGGCACTGAAATAAGATGTCTTATGTCTTGACAACCCAGCGGCATCTTGTGTAGAGGGTCGATCATTGGAAGTTCTTGATTTGCCACTGCTGGGATACCAGATGCATCTTTGCTGTCATATAGCAAGTGAATTTGTATGCTGTTTCCTAATCATGACAGTAAACAATAAGATACATATCTCTGATCACCAGATGCTAAAGTATTCAGATGCTAAAGATGATTAAAATATTAACCACTCTCAATCTGATAACTGATTGATAACTGATAACCTGATAAC